CTGGACCGCAGGAATGATGCTTTTCCACAGCGCGGGGGCCGAGTTTGAAGCTACGGCTTGGGGTTCAGGGTGCAAGGGTTTGGGTTAGGGTTTAGGGTTGAGGGTTTAGGGTTTTAGGGTTTAGGATGACAGCGCAGAGGTTTAATAGTAACAGTAGCAAGAGACTGATAGTAGCACTGCTCATGGCAATGCTTGCAATTTCAAGAGTAGCTTGAGTATTTAGCGACGAAGATAGTACTAGTGCGGGTAACAAAGAGAAGCAACAGCAACAATCATCAGAAGAAGGTTCGCAGGTCACATGGCCGTTGGGTTGAGGTACCCTAAACCCTAAACCCTACACATTGTTTCGAACTTGGGTCTTGGGCTTCTGATGCGCGGGGCCTCAGGGCAGCCATCTTCATAGCCTTTGAAATCGAAGCCCGAAGCGCAAAACCCTAAACCCCTTTGTAACATCAGAATCCGAAACCCGACTATTCAACTCGAGTCTCGAATATGGCCATTGAAACAGCAGGAAGTCCACAGCTACTGGAGCCCGAATTAAGCAAAACCATGCCCCATCCATCACACGCATATTCGGAAGGTTCCAGCCCCTACATGTTGCCTCAAAATATACCTCGAAAGAGTTCATTCACAGGTGTAAGACTCCGATAACGCGAGGTCGTGAGTTCAAGCAGGACCAAGAGTGGGACACGGAATCGCGCCGACAGGAGGCCTGGCTAACCGGTAGCAGCTAAAATCCAGGACCTGGGTCCTTGTTGGCTAAAATTTACATGTTTGTTATGATAAAAGCCACTGAGGATTAAACTAGACATGATAATTTTTCATAGCCCCAACAGATAAGCAGGGACGATGTCGGGACAAACTGATGTCGGGCTTGAGGATGCTCTACCATAATATAGGGGCCTTAATAGGTATGTACATAATTTTGGGGGTTTATTATATGTGTACTGTAGTATACTATACCCCAAAACCCTGTCCGAAGTAGTAAGGCCCCTACATTGGGATGTTCCGTGCTGGCGGAGTAGCTCGTCGTTCTTGGTTGCATGGTTCCAGCACGCAGGCCTCGGGAAGTGATGAATGCTCGTTGAGGTAGGGGAGAGCCCCAAAGAACCACACGCACTGACAACCCATGCATGGCAACAACAACATCCCAAATGTTGCATATGTTTGACGAGCAGTGATGCACAATGAGAATCAATGACGGCAATAACAACTTATAACTCGTGATTTCGCATATCGCTTATTGTATCACTTTTTGTGGCCTTTGCCACACCATCTTCATGGTGGTTCTCGCCACCGTGACCATTGCCTCGGTTATCGCAGTTATCGTCAGAACTATGATGATCACAATCACGCCCGATAGCCGAGCAAGGGCAGCAAATCATCAGCAGAGCCATTGGTCCCAAGCGTTGAGTCTTCTTCGGCAGCACATCGTTGTTGTCATCAGGTCCGTCGTTACACCGAACCATTAGGAAGGGTTGAACTAGCCTGGACGATCAGCAGCATGACAACCGTCGTCATCACCATCATCACCATCATCATCATCATCATCATCATCATAGTCGTGAGTCATCGCCATCTCCATCCATCATCATCATCATCATCATAATCGTAAGTCACCGTCATCTCCATCATAGTCGAGCCTCTGCCTGTACCTAAGAGAAGCTCCCCACAACCCAAAAAGCCCTAACCCCCAGCCCCTGAAAGCTAAACAGGTCCAGCAGGTTAGATCGCCTTGAAGGTTTTCGGTTCGCTGTTCGTGCTCGGTTCAGAGCCAGACATTTCCTCTAGGCAGACGGGACCATTCTGAGCCGAAATCGTCCATTCCGGCACTACAATGCGGCGAATAAAGAGCATCGACCACAACATCAAGCTGCAAAATCAGTTCCAGTGAATGCCTTTGGAGCAGAGCTGAAGCAAGGAATTCCATGCCATTTCATACCGACGGTGGCTTACGTGCGGCAGGTCGTGCGATGGTGGATTCGTGATGGAGTCTCCGTCTCGGTTGCAAGCAGTTCAGGGCAGGGAGGGCTGGGTTTGTTTGGTTGAGGATATGCTAATCTAGGGGCCTTCATAATTAGAATAGGGTTCCGAGCTCCCTTATAGTACAATTATAATATCGTATAGTAGGGATGTAGGCTGGGGTTCAAGTTCTAGCGGTTCAGGGCCCATGGTGTAACGACGTGGCTTTTGGTTTTGCGGGGCTGTGCCAGAAGTTTGGAACTACGACGAAGTAGCAGAACTCGCAGTACAAACATCCATGAGCATTCCGGTGCAGAGCTGAACAATAAGGAGTCTGCTGAAAAAGCAAGTCAGTCAACTTCTTTGAAGCCGCAGCAGCAGTAGCAGTAGCATTAACTGGAGAGAAGTAATTAGCAGTAGCAGTAGCCTCTAGTAGGAGTAGTAGTAGTAGTAGTAGTAGTAGTACTACTACTACTACTACTACTACTACTACTACTGAGTAGGAGTAGGAGTCGGAGTAGCAGCAGCAGCAGTAGCAGCAGTAGCAGTGGCAGCAGCAGTTTCAGTAGATAAGCTGCAGCCCTGAGCCCTATTGATCATGTACGTACACGCGCTCAGCCTCAAAGCGGAAACACACCTCACCCGAAAGCGCAGGCCGACTTTTCGAACAACCCCCGCGCTCCCATGGCTCCAAAACACCCCCACACTCTCCACCCCCCAAGTTGCTCTTCCCGTCCTGTGCACCGATTGACCTTAAAACAACATTGGACCCCAGCTTGTCAAAGCAACTCCCAGGCTACAAAGTTGTACGAGACTATGCCTTTCCTTCTTCCAAAGTGCTCGTTCTTTGTGTTCCGATTTCTCCTGGTGCCATACCATTTGTAACATGATGCCTTCGGCAGTGTCTCGGCACAGGGCGGAGTAAATGGGAGCCGGCTTGTTTCAAAGTCCAAGGTGCCCATGCACCTGGCAGGAGTACCGCAGCTGGAGCTTCTTGTGTTTCGGCCGAAACGAGGTTTGCGCTTTGTAACATAATCAACGAGAGCAACAATGATAAGGACGGTTGAATGTAGGTACAACAGGTCGATTAGCCTCACTTGCAGTGTTGGAGATGGTAATCAATAGTATTTGCATTAAAAGCTTGACATGCAGACTCTTCGCGCACATGCGCTTTGGAAAGATGCCGAACCTCCCGGAGACAAACCCTGAAACTTGAACTCCACCCTTGCATCCTGCAGACGGGAGCCGTAAAAGATGCACTGTGTGCCTAAAGGACCTTCATCTGCAGCTGAAGCTTTCATCGTAAGCTGAACCAAGAGTCAAGTAGCATCAGAGTCAAGTACTTTTTCTTTTTCATGAACGCGCCCATGCTGGAGGCACCAGGATACAGAACTGCTTGCAAATCAGACTTCTGTCACATCGGGGCTGCCACAGCAGAAGCAGATTCGTCCAAAAGTGCCCCATGCGAGTTGCAATTCAGCCTGAGTGTGGTCAAAACTTGGGATGCGCAGAACACGCACACAAAAACTGCTAAGAACCTGCAGACGAAGTGCAAGCACGGTTTCATTTTTTTTTTCGAGGACCGCCCCACGGCCTCTTATGCATGGTGTTAACCTCCGACAATTCCCCGAATAGTCTGACAGAGCACCCCAGAGCTTTCCAAGCGAGGTGAAGCCGCCCTCGGTTGAAGCGCTGTGGGAGTGGTACGAGGAGCCCACTGGGTTTTGGGGCTAGCGACCCAAGCCAAAAAGCACGCGATATTGAGTGCTTGAAATTCGAGGGAAGACCTATGAAACCTTTCTTGCTAGTGCTGCTACTGGCTGTTTAACTTTACAAAGTTCGTGCATGCTTAAATTGTAGTGTAGGCATGTTTCTCCATTAACAAGTAGCATACCCATACCTATGTCATCTCCCATCGGAGAGCGAAGCCAAATTCGTGGGATAAGTCTGGAAAGCATTGGATGCATCCATCACGGGGGTCATCGCCGCGGTGTCACAAGACCAACAATCGTTGGATTGGACCTGTTGGTGATCTTGAAACGGTTTCAGAAATGGACTTCTGCAACTCTGCGAGCAAGAGACCTTTGGCTCGACTCGCTCTGATGGCCCCCGAAAGTTGCAAAGTGTCCATTCCCTGCCTTCCCTCCAGCAGGCCCCCCTTTTTCCCGCCCGTGCTCCCTGCCCCTGCCTCTCTTCTGTTCTGCCGACAAGACTGCAGTGTTTTCATTCTGGGCCTTTCAAGGTTTCAAAGGCCCGGAATGGAAATGTTGCAACTCTCTGGCCAATCACGGCCTGCTCCAAAGTTCTTCGCCTCGTCCAACCATGTCAGGATGGCTATATCTGTGTGTGTGCGCTGCGCAATGCAGTCCAGAAAGTTTGAAGTGCAGCCAGGGCCATACGAAGCATTCGATATGCCATTCCCACTCTCCTGCCTTCCGAAGAATTCCAAAGCTCTCCGCAACAGACCCCATTATTGCGCCCCCCCCCGCCCCCCCCGCCCGGCAATTTACTTCCAGTTACTGTTCGGACTTGAAATGGGTAAACTACGCGGCCCGGGATCCTTCACAGAGATAGTACCAAAAAATCTTCAGCGATAGAACATCCAGATATTTAAGAAACACTGCCGTAGTATTGTAGGATTTGTATAGTTGTTGTATGTGTGCATACGAAAACATATGCATGATATATATATATATATATATACATACATACATATACATGTGTATATATATATATATATGGATGGTCACCCCCCCCCGATCCACCTCCGTCTTTCTTCGATATGTAAAACACATAGAAACCACCGTAA